TAGTAAGTAGTAAGTAGTAAGTAGTACGTAGTAAGTGGTAAGTAGTAAATACTAAGTGGTAGTAGTGGTAGTTGTAGTAGTAGTAGTAGTAGTAGTAGTAGTAGTAGTAGTAGTAGTCTAGTAGTAGTAGTCTAGTGGTAGTAGTAGTAGTAGTAGTAGCAATAGCAGTAGCAGCAGCAGCAGCAGCAGCAGCAGCAGCAGCAGCAGCAGCAGCAGCCGTATTCCTTAGGGCTCTTTAAGATGTGTGTAGTGGAGTAGAACCCTAAACCAGAGCGCCCGGAGCACTCAAAACCTAGACCCTTACACTTTGAACCAGAAACGATGTCCTTGAAACGCACCAACAGGGGACTTGAAGAAGTGTTCTTCCCAAATATTCCTTGTTCTACGAGTACAATAGTATACCAACAACCCTGTTCCAATTCTTACGGGCCACGGAGCGTTGATGTTCAATGGCCGGCAATCCTTCGACTGGATACCGGGAGCTCTGAACGGTACTCTGGCAGAGAGGCACTTAGGGATTCGCGACTGGCGTGTCAGGGCGCTTCTGGCAGTGGAAGCAGATGGCATGTGGCCACAGCGTACTGCTGCAAGGGCCTCGATACTCAGCCAAGGACGGAAGGATCACTCTGACGGTTGTGGCCGTGCAGGCAAGCAGCTTGCGGACAGCAGAACTGTGGCACACTGCGGCGAACAGTCCACGCGATGCAGGACTTGCCGCCTCCGACCGGAAGTGTACCACCCAGACCGCCGGAAGGATCCAAAAAGTAGGTCCTTCAAAAGGGGTTCCTATACAGTACTCTTTAGTAGTTTGGGTCCTAAACTAGGGGATCTACTTTCTAGATCCTTCCGGCGGTCTGGGTATCTAGGCTGCTGGATGAGGCTGTGTCGGTGCCTGCGTTCACGCAATCCTGAATCCCAAAACCCTCCAACCCCAAGCTCCAAACTCAAGGGAAGACCCATACTATAGGAACAGCATTAAGAAACCTTGAGTTGTTGTTAGGGTTTTTGGAATATGAATCCTCAGAACTGAATCCTAAAATTTTGGGGTTGGTACTACCGAAGCACATGTCAGGTGCACAAGCAGAACCCGAACACACGATGTGCACCATCATCGGGAAGCTCCAAGAACTGCCAGGACAGGCCTAGGATTGATCGGGGTCGAAAAGACAATGTCACACGAACCCGAAATCCTAAACCCTAAACCGCGGAATGTCACACGAACCCGAAAATCCTCCCTTAAGTTTCCAGCGTTTCGTGTCTGTGTGTGGGCTGGCGGAGGGGGGTTCTAATCATTAAGGCCCCTACAGTAGCCTGAGAGCTTGCCCAGACCCCCAGGAGGATCCAAAAAGTAGATCCCTTAATGGGGGTTCCAAAGAGCCTTTAGTAGTATAGCGTCCCAAAATAGGGGTTCTACTTTATAGATCCTTCCGGGGATCTGGGTTTTTGTTGTTTTGGAAGGATTTCGACGAGGCCGCGATGCTAAGGGCGGAAGATGTGTTGCGAACATTTCGGATGCGGAAAGCTTGTGGAATGAAGGAAGCCGTGTTTGGCAGAGCATGTAAGACTGACAACGAAACGCTAAACCGCCTAAACCCCATACCCTAAACCCCAGACCCAAGACCCTGAATCCTGAAACCCTTATCCATACAACCTGCTTAAGCGTTCATGGGACTTAGTAACTATAAAAAATGGTGATAAGTGCTTGTAACCCCCAATTACGGTACTTATAACTGTACTTACTAAGTCCCAGGAACCTCCAAGTAGACCCTAAACCCTAAACCCCTAAACCCTATACCCCTTAAAGGGACCCTAAGTGTATTTACTAAGTCCCACGAACCTCCAGGTAGACCCTAAACCCTAAACCCCTAAACTCTAAACACCCAAACCCTAAACCCTAAAACCCTGAAACCCTAAAGCCCTCCTTGGACTTCAAGTACACATTAGAAGTGCAGACTGGAGATCGGGTTGCCAGTCCCAGTCAAGTTCCCAGAGAACCCCACACCCCTCAACTAAGGAATAGACCTTAATTTACCCAGACCCCCGGGAGGATCCAAAAAGTAGATTTCTTAAAGGGGGTTCCTATAAAGAGCCCTCTTAGTAGTATGGGGTCCCAAATTAGGGGTTCTACTTTCTAGATCCTTCTGGGGGTCGGGGTAAGGAATATACCTTAAATTATAGAGGCCTGAATACTATTTATTATGATTTAAGGTACATTCCTTAATTAAGGGGTATTGGCTTGTCTGGGTTTGGTCCCGATGGTGTCGGTAAAACCCACCAAAACACAGGAGCCACTGAGATGTCCAGCAGGAAACAAGGGGCCTAAATGATTACCAATACTGTTTTGGGGGCTGCTTATTGCAATTAAAGCAGAATAGTCCCCCGAAATCCACAAACTTAACGAAGAACGGGCAACCCACTGCCTAAATCTCACATTCTCGCCTTAGGCCGGCAATCCTAAACTGTGACCTGCTGTTGATGGACAAAATTCTGCACGACCCAAATATAGTATAGTACCATAAATCCCATAGTTTAGGTATATAAGGTCATGCAGGATTTTGTCCATCAGCCGTATGTAACCACCCGCAGGAGGCTGATAATCTAAGATCCTGCGGGTATACTGTACCAAATGTACCAAAGTTATAAGAAGAAACCCCAGGAATAGCATTACCATGTATAGGTTACAGGCGCGGCTCGGACCAGGATGCACTACAAAGTGCTCTCAGATCCGTCAACTAAGCTATCCTTTCGGTTGTGACTTGTACGGACATATGCCAGAAAACGAACTGACTGAAACACCAAGAAAAAGCCACACTATACCCAAAACCCTCAACTCTCGAAGACACATCCAAGAGCGCAGGCGTGTCCCTCCTTTTTGGACACAACGTAACCTCAATGGAGTTCGATGCAGGCGCCGTGGCACACGAACGGGGCTTGAACAAGAACCCTGGACCCTCTACAGCCTTAAACCGGACCCCTAAAATATGAGTTGTGTTTTGGGGTTTCGAAAGGCTTAGTATGGGGGCTTGAATAATTACCAGTGCTATTCCGGAGGGCTCCTCGTACATTTATCGTATAGCGCCTCCGAAAACCCGGCTTCTTTTGTTAGACGCTAAGCCTGAACAAAGTCTGTTTTGCAGAGCCGTTGGTGGGGGGCGTTCCGTTGCGTATTTGCAGTACATTGTTTGATGTCCTTCCTGGGGCGACTTAACCTGAGTTCCTCAACCAGAACGCAGAAACCACAAATCTTAAGCATTGGACCAACGCTTGTTTTCATTATTATGGGGTCTGCACGCCTTTGGCGAAAAAGGGACAGGAAATCTGTTGCCGAGATGTTCACCAGAGTCTCAAGACGGAGGTGCTGAAAACACCGGCTGGTGTGGCGTCGTCGTCACTGATAAGGCTGCAAACCCTGAAGTTGCAAAACCTCGGGGCGACGACGGGTCGAAATGTCACATAATACACTGTGGCAGCTGAGCCCTGCCTGTGCACAGGTTTTTCAGGTCAACCACCAGCGCTCTCAGTTCACCAACACTGCCCGTAGTCGGGCTGTGAATCGACCGACTCGCACACCTACCACGCGGTACTTGAAAGCACCTGGAGCCACATTGAGATGTAGCCGGCAACGGTGGGACGTGTAAGTCAGAAATCCAATTCTCGAATCTGGAGACGTGCTTTCTCATACGTCTTAGGGCACTACACCCTCCGCCTAAAGAAGCCCGAGACGACGCACTTACCACACCACCCCCACCCCCCACCCCATCAAGCCAATCCTGCAAAATGCTGGTTTTCGAAGATGCGCACATCACTGCAGATGCTTCTGTTTCAGCGTCTACAGAGTAAAAAAATCTCGACAAGTTCATGTTTTTGAAGAGCAGGTCTCGCCAACCCAACAGTCGCATGTAGAGAAACTGGTGTAGATACGATGCAATGGGCTTAATGTAGGGGGGCTGAAATAGTTACCAATACTTTTTTTTTT